CACGACGGCGCCGGTGGTCACCAGCCATCACAACAGCCACCACCAGAGCCACCAAAACAACAATAATATAATTAATATGAATAACAACAACAACAAGACGTTAACCGGTGGCCAACTGGTGAATGGCGTGATTCCGCACCACAAGCAAAACGGAACGGTAGCCAACGGCTCGGCCAAACACCACAGTCAGCCGCCGCTGCAGCTGATCCAAAACCACTCGCTCTCGCCCGAGAGGGTGGTCTCCGTGGACACCACCGACTCGATGAGACATATATCGAAACAGAAGCAAAACAAAATCAATCGAAATAATCGTAAGAAGAATAACACGGAGGAAGCGCTCTCTCCAGGTTTGTGTCCATTTGTGTTGATAGCTGTCTTAAGGGAACTCCTATTTCTGGCGAATTGGTTGAGTTGTTTATAAGAATCCCTTTGAAATAATTGTTTTTATGAAATTGTCTGGAGATTTGTGACTAATTTATTGTTTTTGTCTTATGTTTGGAACTAATAGATGAAGTCTTTATGCCGAAAGACATCGACTTAGATAATGGAGAACTCGACGAATTCGAGAAAGAATTAGAGGCTTTCAAACGGTATGTGTTTTTCATTTTCAGTGGAAATACTGTTTGTAATTTGTTTTATAATCATATGGTTTTGTAATTATATATTTAAAAAGCATATTTTAGTGTTTAAATTATATAATACTGTATGTGCCGTGATTTTGTACACAAATTATTGCGAAATTCTCGTGTAGTTTAGTTTAATGTATTAATTTTTGTTATCATATGTTGTGACTCTAATTACTAATTATTTTTTTGCTGCTAATTAGTGTCATGTAAGATATGGGAAACATTTTTATATGTGTAGTGTTTTTAAATAACTTTCAACTGTTTTCAGTTTGGAGTTTATCTCTGATTTTTGTACTTTTTATCTATAAATGAGTTTATTTTTTATGAAACTTTTTTTACACACAATTACTGATGAATTTAACCCTTTTATCACATTTTACACGATGACATTGACTTCAATCTGAAGTAGTCATCGCTCGAGACATAGTTTTTTTGAGACATTGTTTTTTATGCCAATTAGTTATTGGCGCAAAAATATTTATTTATTTTTCGTGAATATTTTATTTATTTTACAGTTATGTAAATGACATTTCCATTGACAGTAGAGTACAGGTGTTTGTTATGAAACAGATGCATAGGATTTAATGTAGACTTTGACAGTCGATGTTCACTATTATAGGAGAGGTTATGATTTTTGTCCGTACATTATATACACAGTTGTGTTTAACACTAAATTAAAGTTTACTTTTTTTTTGGTTGATGTGGTGTTTAATGTCATTGACTCTGATTTNATTTCTAACGTATTGTCTGTTGATCTGTGGTTTAGATTCTGCTTCAATTCGGTTCCGCTTAAAGTCAAAGAGAAAGTAAACGTAAACCTGAAGGACATCGTCATCAAGAAGAAGGATTAGATGCGTGTCTTCAGCCGATTGTCTTCGAGCCGATGCATGGCGTCAAATACCGATCATTTAAAATGCGTTATAATTATATTTCTCTAGTGTTTGGACTTCTCTGATGGCAAACAAAACACACTTCTATTGTGATAATTATTATTATTAATTAATATTATTATTGGAAATGAGTTTTCTCTCTCTCTTTCTCTCTTTACTCTCTCTCTACTCTCTTACGTTGTCTGTTATATCTCACACTATCAGACATCAGTTTTTATTAATTTTTAATTAAAATATAATTTTGTGTTTACTATACCCCCCGAGAAAATGAGGTGACATTTGAAAAACAAAAGTGTAAATCATTAAATAATTGATTTAAAAATTTATAAACACCAAAACACATATAAATAATATTGTCTTTTCAAACACGAGCTGTACGTTTACGATTGAACTACAGAATAATGGATACAATGATTGATATAAAAAACAATGACATCTTTTTTGGAGAATTACTTTTTATGTTCATTTGAATATCTCTTTTGATTATAAATATATATATATTTTCGCTCGACTTCTCTGTCGTGTATTTCTCTCTCTCTTATGATTATTATTATCTAATTATATCTGTCTATCGATTCGCGAGACACCACCACAACTCCAACCTCTTATTGATACGAAACAAATGATTATTATAATTATGAATATATTATTGTATTTGTTTTTATTAATCGTATATAAGTTTAGAGAAAAAAAAGTAATAATAAAAATACAAAATATATTATCGAATTATATATTTAATTAATTATTGATGTCTTAAACATTTGATTTTTTTTTTGAATTATTCTTATTATTATTATTTTTTTTGAGAGCCATTTGAATAAATTTTTTAAATGTATTTATTATTTATTTGCGTTTAATTTGTTGTTTATTTGAGTTTTTATTTTTTGATTATGTTTATAATTTATAATGTAATTGTGTGCACAATGTTAGGGTATTTATTGTTTTTTTTAATAGTGACCTATTGTTTTCAGTTTGCGTACACATTATGAACAAGTATTCATAACATTTATTTCATTAATTATCTATTATTTCATTTTCTCTGTTATATATAAAACTCTACTTTTAATTACTATTATATTTTCAATTCTTTTTGTTGAGAAACAAAGAATTATTCATTTGTTTATGAATTCCTAAAACTAAGAAAATATTTATTCATTCCGTAAGTAATTGTTCCGAAAAGTTGTTTCAAACTCTTGAATGTTTTTGACTCAAAACTCATCGCATAATTGAATGCAACATAAGTAAGAAAACGAGTATTTATTTCTGTTTTTAAATTCAATTCAATTGTTTCTTTTGTAAACACAATCATAAAAAGAGTTGCTTTTTAACGATGTTTTTGCCAGAATTGAGGCACAAATGCAATACCGGTTCTCTCTTTCTCTCTCTCTCTCTCTCTCTCTCTCTCTCCGCATCTCTCATAAACTGAATCATTACTTAACGACTGACCCAACAGTTACCTTAAAAGGCTGTGCTGTCGACACCACACACACACACAACATACCTGTGCTCGTAATCAATTCAAAACGAGATTCCTTACTCTCTCTCTCCCAATCCCTCCCATCATTAAAGTTATAGAAATTAAAATAACTGTTTCTGCGCTCATATGCTGTGAATAATGCGAGTAATCATTAGTATTGCTGTTATGAAAACAATCGCCATTTAGTTATTCATTATTATATTTCAATGATATCTTAATTCAAATCTGGGAAAAAATTATTTAATTAATGAACTTATTTATAGTCTCATTGTTTCGCGAAATTGATTATTCAGTTCTTCAGCTCTGGAAACATTTCCTGTTAATACCACATACCATACCTATTATGTTATATACAATACTGAATATACTGCATATAACTCATAGAATTTCACATAACAACACAACATATTATAAATATAAATAAATAAATAAGTTATCATAAAAGTGAGTGATAATGTATACATTTTGTATGATTAAAAATATTCAAATTCAATGTTTTATATAAAAGTTTTATATGCAAAATTCCATGAGTTTTGAGTATAAAGAATATTCTTTTCTAATAGTGTATATAATTTATGTATTCGATAAATGTAACTAGCTCAATGTTTTTAGAATTTAATATACTGTAGAATATTATGGAAACTTAAAGTAAAACATCGCTAAAAAGCAACTCTTTTTATGATTGTGTTTACGAAGCAAACAATTGAATTGAATTTAAAAACACAAATAAATATTCGTTTTATTACATATGAAACATATGTTGCATTCAATTATGTGACGAGTTTTGAGTCAAAAACTTTTGAGAGTTTGAAATAACTTTTCGGAAACAATTACTTACGAAATGAATAAATAATTTCTTAGTTTTTGGAATTAATAAACAAATGAATAATTCTTTGTTTCTCAACAAAAAGAATTGAAAATAAAATAGTAATTAAAAGTAGAGTTTTATATATAAAATAGAAAATGAAATAATAGATAATTAATGAAATAAAAGTTATGAATACTTGTTCATAATGTGTACGCAAACTGAAAACAATAGGTCACTATTAAAAAACAATAAATACCCTGCTAACATTGTTTATTGTACACAATTACAAAAACAATTATAAAAGTAATCAATAAATAAAAACTCAAATAAGCAACAATTTAAAAGCAAATAAATAATAAATACATAGGGGTTTAAACATAAGCATAACATATCAAAATGGTTTTGTGCCCCACAACCACCCTGTAGACTACGGGGCTGTAGTACCCGTACACTCGCAATGTAACAGGGAGAATTATCAAGTATGCAAATTGGATTAAAATTGATTTTATTTCTCATAAATGGGCGCACAGTTTAAATGTTTAAATAATCAAAACAATCGATTAATTTAAGCAAAGATCCTTGATACACACCTCCCCCTCCTCGCAGTCACTATTGGAGTCGCACTTTTTATACGAAGGGGTTTTGGATCCACCACCGGGATAGCCGTGGGCACCGGTGTTGGCGCCCAACTCGATGGCCACCGACACGGCCAACAGTAAGACAATGAAATCGTATTTATTACACATTTCGCTGTTTGTCATGTAATTCACGATCCAATCGGTGCTATAACTGTACACTAAGTGATCAATGATTAGAGTCTACGGTTGTGTATAAAGCTATGGATACCAGTGTTGAGTAGAGTTGCCAACTGTCGGGCTTTTAGCGGAACTTTGGCCGTACGACTGATTCGCTGAATTGTTCACTGATTTGTCGCTACTCTTCTGGACGGACACCACCGGTGGGTTCACTACCATTCAAATCTCCCGTTCCTCTCACAGAATCTATTCATAGACTATCAGCCAATCGGTGGCCAAACACTGAATCGATTGATTACAAGATATACAGAATATTCTGCATTATATTCACTGAAAAACTCAACTGTTATTTCCTATTTTAAAGTATTCCCATCGAAACACTGGTGTCCTCACGTCTATTGGATACCTATGGGCACAGGTACGCAGTGCTATGTCTTCATTCACTCAAACCATATGTGTTTCAGAGATTTAAATTGCATTTCACGCCATTTATAGCCCGCATTCAACACTCATTGATCACTTAGTGTACAGTTATAGCACCGATTGGATCGTGAATTACATGACAAACAGCTAAATGTGTAATAAATACGCTTTTATTGTCTTATTGGTTGCCGTGTCGGTGGCCATCGAGTTGAGCGGCAACACCGGTGCCCACGGCTATCCCGATGGTGAAAGTGGAGGTGATGGCGAGTCAACCGATTCGTTAAAAGAGTGCAAAGATACCGATGGATATGAATATCCGGAGTATTGTCTTCACAATCAGTGCGTCCGGTGGGCCAATGCGGTGAAAGCTCGGGGATAATGGACGGTCAACAGCCCCCCAATGGATACACACCACGGCTCACATCCAGTGCTAACCAATCAATGAATCCATTGTTCGGTTTATTCAAACATTTAATACTATTTGTATCCATAGTATGAGCAATAAATCTATTTATATTTTAATGCAATTTGTATAATTCATAAATGTTCCTAATAGTCCTTGTACAGTTACATTGCCGTGCACTACAACCTGTAGTTTACGGGGT